TAATTTGTTCACCCACAGTAGAATACTTATGCTCTTGAGAGAAGCCACTAGTGAAACCTATGGCCCATGGGTCTATTCTCATCATATCAATCTCCATCACTTTAATCTTGACTTGCTTTTTACTTTGCCTTTTACTTTTCACTTTGCATCTTTATACCAAAAATACCAAAAATATTATATCTATCAGATCTCACTCTCGTAAGTGACCGTGAAGGGATTGACAACCCCTAATCGCGTTGGTTGCGAGTAGCTATTTTTTTGTGCAGGTACGAGGGACTTGAGCGTGGCCTCCTACTAGATAGATACCTTGGTTCTCAAAAACTGAGGGAAATACTTACGCTACTCTGCTGCATCATCCCTTCCTCTTCGGGGAAATCCAATGCAAGCTCAAGAGGTAGAACGTATCTCTCTCGTCCATGGTAGAGGAGTATGTGGATGCCGGTAGTTGTTGTGCACAACTCTTATGGATGAGGCAAACTTTAAAGAATTACGGTGTTATTTGTGACAAAGTACCTCTTTGGTGTGACAATGAAAGTGCCATCAAGATTTCTCTCAACCCGGTGCAACACTTCAAGACGAAGCATATTGAGATTCGGTATCACTTCATCCGGGATCACATTAGGCGAGGGGAGATCGAGCTCAACTACGTCAACACCCATGATAACCTTGCAGATATTTTCACGAAGCCTTTGGATGAAGCAAGATTTCGCGAGTTAAGGCATGAACTAAATATCATTGATTTGAGCAATGTTGCTTGAACCCTTGCACACCCCACCTCACTCAACTTGCTGTCTAATCTAGGTGTAGGCATGGACATAGGGGGAGTGTTGTTCTCCCAATGAACTCTCCCTCTCCCATTATGCATAAAGCGATCAACTATTTCACATTAGCCACTTTTGATGGTACTTGTGCTTCAAAGACGAGTTTTGGTCATGGGCCCAAGGATAATTCTTCACGGTGCCATACCAATTGACTCAAACATAGGTGGCTCCGGCCACCGCCCTCTCCTTGGAGAGTTTGTGTCTCGTTTTTGGTCTGTGTTGTCTCTTGCTTCTCTTCCTTCGTGTTGAGCTTGTGCTTGTGGTGTCCTGTGTGTTAGCTCGTTGGTGTGGTCTTTCGCTTGAAGGTTCAGTGCTTCGGTGTTCTCTCGGTTGGTTGAAACTGCTCTTTCTTGAGTACACGGTACTACCGCGGCCTGCCATGGTACTACCGCGTGAGGAGTGCACGGTACTTCCGCACCCAGTGCGGCAGAAATTTTTTACTGCCGCCTGGGGGAGCGGTACTAAAGCCACGGTGTGGTACTTCCACCCGGGGCAGTACTACCGCGAAGACGTGCGGTACTACCGTGCGGTCGAGGGGCGTGGGGGGTTAAACACGGGCAGGGGGAGTTCTAACTCCCCCATTGTGATAGCCTGGCTTATTAGGGATGATAGACTACTCATATCAATAAGGAATTCCTTCTTTTTTGGGAGCCCATTCGGACAGAACTCCAAAGTTAAGCGTGCTCAGCTTGGAGTAGTGTCAGGATGGGTGATCGACCGGGAAGTTGCTCCCGGGTGCGCACGAGTGAGGACAAAGTGCGCAGAAAAGACTAGTATTGATCTGTGGGGCCAGTCTAGATCACGCCAGGAGTAACGACCACCGGCGGGTGTGTCCGGGACGTTACAAAGAGCGTATCAGAGCCGACCCTCGTGGTTACACGGATGGTTGCCGACAGGTGCGCGGTCATGTTGTTCATGACGTTTGTGACCCGTCATGGCACCCGGCATGGCACATGTACTGGACTGGATGCACAGACATATGTGCCAAGAGGGAACGTTCCTGTGGCCCAACGAGGACGTCGGTTCCTCTGAGTGGGGGTGTATGTGATAGCCTGGCTTATTAGGGATGATAGGCTACTCATATCAATAAGGAATTCCTTCTTTTCCGGGAGCCCATTCGGGCATAACTCCAAAGTTAAGCGTGCTCAGCTTGGAGTAGTGTCAGGATGGGTGACCGACCGGGAAGTTTCTCCCGGGTGCGCACGAGTGAGGACAAAGTGCGCAGAAAAGACTAGTATTGATCTGTGGGGCCAGTCTAGATCCCGCCAGGAGTAACGACCACCGGCGGGTGTGTCTGGGGCGTTACACCCATACCCATTCGTCTCTCTCCCCACTCCGTCTCTCTCTCTCTCTCTCTCGCTCAAGAATGGCGCCGGAGGTCCTCGCCGGATCTCCGTCTCCGGCCGCTCTCCTCGGATTCTAACCGGTGGGATCGTTCCCCACCACTCCCTCTTGCCATGGAACAAGGTTTCTCCCCAATCCCTTCCTTTTTCTTGTTCGTCTTGTTGTTTTTAGGTTTTGGGGAGATGCAAGTTGTTCGTGAGATTTTAGGCCAAATCTTTGCAAGAGTAGGATATAGGAGCGTGGTTTTATGTAGTGATGGTACTTGCTATAGTTGTCCCATGATGGATTTGATCGACCGTAGTACCGCGTGTTGACACGGTTGTGCTCAGATCTCTGTGGCCGTTACGGATCTGCAACCGTGCGGTACTACCGCTCTTCAGGTGCGGTACTACCGCGCGTCCGGTACTACCGCCCTACTAGTGTGGTACTACCGCATCACTAGTACTACCGCTCCTTGGAGCGGTACTACTGCACGTGGCGCAACACACGCTACTACCGTTGTCTCAAATCCCTCTTGTGGCACTTCTCACGTACTATGTCTACTTGTTTCACCCGTTTTGTTGTGGTCTTTGCATTGATCCTTCTCGCGTTTCGTGCGTGGTTGTTTTGTGGTGTGTGTTTTAGGTGGTGGCTCAGGTGCTCCGGCTCGCCGCTCCAATCCAAGCCGTAACACGGGATCCAAGCGTATGCACAACTCAGAGGCAGCAGAGGGCTCCATGCCCCCCAACGCAAAACCAAGACCACCGCCACCAAAGAGAAGGAACCCACCATGGGTATGGATGAGATACCGCTTGCTGAGTTCATCTCTCGGAGGAAGATCAATCCATATGGAAACCCTCGTGCCAACTTTCGAGGGAATGAGCTATTCTGGACCAATCAGCAGAATCTCATCTATCTGGATGTCATCAAGGCCAAGCAAAACACCTATGTGGAGGTGAAGTGGATCAACATGCATCACATGAAGCAAGAGAAGCACCGGGAATACTTTGGTGAGGCTTTAGACCTCGTGGAGCAATTTGGCATTGAGCATATCATCACATTCCACAAAGACTTTGATCCTGAGATCATTGCTCAGTTCTTTGCCTCAGTGCATTTTCATCCCAATGAGGAAAGGACCATGACTTGGATGACCAATGGTCGGCAGCTGACTGCTACTTGGAAGGAATTCATGACTTTGCTTGGGGTTCCGGATGAGGGGCTCGCCACACCCCAAGGTGTTCGCCCTCATGCCAATTCCGAGTCTTCAAACAAGAACAGGCTTTTGCCCTTCTATGTGGAGAAGAAGCTCTCCAATGGCAAGTCAACTTGGGTACTCAACTCCTTTCTTGACATCATGCACCGGATCTTCCGCAACACTCTCTTCCCACGCATTGGGGACAAGGACAAGGTGCATGCCTATCTTGTGGATATGATGCTCCTGTGTGAAGACGCTCGCAACTCTCAGACACTACCACTTGATGTCTCACATATCATGTGGAATGAGCTTCGGTTTGCGGTCTACAACCGCAAGGTCCCCATCTATGGACCTTATCTGTTTCAGTTGATCTCAGCAACTTGGGAGCAGCTCTACCCTCAGGATGATTGTGAGGCCCCTAGTTGGATCCGGCATGAGCCCATCAACCTTCGTGTCAAGACTCAGTGGGCCAACACTACCTCTCGTGCTGATGCCGCGGCTGACATGGACGTGGGTGCAGATGAGCATGAGGAGGAGGCAGCAGACGAGGACAGCTCTGAGGGTTACACCCCTCCCACTTCTGAGCCATCTTGGGCTAAGCGACTGAAGAACAAGATGAAGATATTGTCCTGTATGCAGGCAAAGGGGCAGTACAAGACCCATGTGGCTTCCAAGAAGACTCGCCGCCGCGACAAGAGGATTTTCAGGACCTTTGGCGAGAACATCTCCAGCGGGTCAGAGGAGGACGTCACCCCAGAGGCAGAATGGATGGCCAAGCAGGGTTATCACTGGACCGAGTCTGAGGAAGAGTCCGTCCCAGCTGCCGAGTCTGACGGGGAGCGTGCAAGTGACCACTCAGCTTGAGCCACCACTATTGTTGTAGGTGTTCTCTCTGCCTTTTTGGCGTCTCGATGCCAAAGGGGGAGAGAATGTAGGATTTGCGAGTTGTGTCGTGTTTGGGTCAGTTGAACTTCGTTTATGTTGTTTGCTTTGGTTTGCTTTGGTTTGTGCTTGTGAGACCTTCTATCATATGGTGTAAGACATATGCACTATATCGTACCGTAGTGAGCTTATTCTATCTTGTGCTTATTTCATTATGCTCTTTCCTATCTTGCTTAGTTTTAGCCTTATTGCAAGATATGCCATGTCTATAAAATATAGGGGGAGTGTTGATCCTAGTATGTGTGCCATGCAGTCCAAAGCACTCATCGAGATAGCACACATCTAGGGGGAGCCTGTCTATATTTTAGAAACTTGGGGTTTGCCCTTGCTCTTTGCATTATACTCTTGTGCAAATCCCGTGTTGTCATCAATCCACCAAAAAGGGGGAGATTGTAAGGGCATTTTATCCCTTAGTTGGTTTTGGTGATTGATGACAATACTTTTGCGGACTAATCATGTGCATCGAATATTTCAGATATATATTGACTAGGCACAAGATGATTTGGTTGCCCTCGAAGGCTATGGAAGACGGCGTCTCTCTATGTTTCTTTTCGGTGGTACTGAGTCATAGGGAAGCCGTTCTATTAAGAGGGGGTCCGCGTCGGAAAGGGTGGGTGGATTCATCACGTACACATCTTCCTTTGTACCTCCTTTTCTTCTAGCCTTTGGAGCATCCTATGTTTTCCTTGTCTATGCGAATATTGCTCATGCTTGCTGAACTAGGGCGTGCGGTAGTACTGCTCCTTAGAGCGGTAGTACCGCAGGCCCTTGTGGTAGTACCGTCCGCTGGTGCGGTAGTACCGCAAGCGCCCACGGTAGTACCGCTTCCTGGCAAGCGGTAGTACTGTGGTCGGAGTCCAGATGTTGTCACCCTCTCCCTAGTGGGTGGCACCCATCACGGTAGTACCGCGCACTAGGCACGGTAGTACCATGGTATCTGGTTTAGTTCCGCAAGTATGCGGCAGTAAGGGGCGGATGAAAAAAAATCATCTGCGCCTAGCGCGGTAGTACCGCTGCTGGCTTACGGTACTACCGCGTCGGGTTTTTACATCGACTCCAACTCTGCGGAAGTAGCCACGGATGTAATTTATTATATCCGTGCCTTCCCATCTCTGGACAGTCCCTGCCTTGAGGTAGTACCGCAAGGGGGCGCGGTAGTACCGCACCAGCAGTACTGCCGCCCTCTGCCTTAGTGCATTTTGGGTTGTTCTGGTCTCTGCTGCGTGGGCGGTAGTACCGCGCCTCTGGTACGGTAGTACCGCGTTGCGCAGGCTGAGTTGGTGGATAACGGTTGGATTTGTTCTTCTACTATATAAGGGGTGTCTTCTTCCTCTAGTTGACTACCTCTTCCACCTCCAAGCTCAATTAATGCTCTAAGCTCCATTTTCGCCTGATCTCTCTCCCTAGCCAATCAAACTTGTTAATTTGCTCGGGATTGGTTGAGAAGGCCCCGATCTACACTTCCACCAAGAGAAATTTGATTCCCCCACCAATCCCTAGCGGATCTTGTTACTTTTGGGTGTTTGAGCACCCTAGACGGTTGAGGTCACCACGGAGCCATAGTCTATTGTAGTGAAGCTTTGTGGTGTTGTTGGGAGCCTCCGATTAAGTTGTGGAGATAGCCCCAACCTTGTTTGTAAAGGTCCGGTCGCCGCCTCCAAGAGCACCAATAATGGAATCACGGCATCTCGCATTGTGTGAGGGCGTGAGGAGAATACGGTGGCCCTAGTGGCTTCTTGAGGAGCATTGTGCCTCCACACCGCTCTAACAGAGACGTACTTCCCCTCAAAAGAAAGGAACTTCGGTAACACATCCTCGTCTTCACCGGGTCCACTCTTGGTTATCTCTTACCTTTATTTGTGCAAGCTTATTAGTGTTACTTCTTTTGCTTGCTTGTGTGTTCGTTGTTGTTGCATCATATAGGTTGCTCACCTAGTTGCACATCTAGACAACCTACTTTGATGCAAAGTTTAATTTGGTAAAGAAAAGCTAAAAATTGTTAGTTGCCTATTCACCCCCCTCTAGTCAACCATATCGATCCTTTCACCGTTCCCTTCCCGCGCGGGCCTGGTTGGACCTTATGCAGGCAACCAAACATGCCCTAAAGCTACTAGGATTGTCTCAAAAAAAACTAAAGCTACTAGGAGTTGCCAAAAAAAACTAAAGCTACTAGGAGCTAGTGAATGATCACAGCGCGAAAAGTTTAAAACATAGCCGTGCTATTTCTTGCACATATATTTCAGAACAAAAAGTGTTTTTTGAAGAAAAAAGTGCAAATAAAATTTAAAACAAATCATAATTAGAAAAAAAATATGTATTAAAAAAATTCCAAACTAGAAAAAATTTAATTGATTTTAAAAAAAATCATCAGTTCAAAAAAAAAGTTCATCAATTTGATACAATTTCATACATTTGGAAAAAAGTTCATCGATTTTCAAAATATCACAAAATTGGAAAGGTTACATCGATTCAAAAAAACTTCGTCGACATTTTTAAAACTTCCTCGATTTTAAAAAGAGTTTCTCAATTTAAAAATCATTGATTTTAAAAAAATCACAAATTAAATAATACTTTCATCGATTTGAAAAAAGTTCATCAATTTTCAAAAGAAGTTCCCAAACCCTATAAAGTTTCATCGATTTCAAAAAAAGCTCATCAATTTTAACAAAAAGTTCCTCGATTTAAAAAAATTCATCGATTTTCAAATAAATTCACAAATTCAAAAAAATTTAATCGATATGGAAAAAAACTTCATCATCTTCAAAAGTAGTTCTGAAATCCAAAAAATGTTCATCGATTTGAAAAAAAGATACAGATTTTGAAAAGGTTCCTGAAATTAAGTAAAAGAAAAAATATAAATAAAAAGAAAAGAAAGGAAAAAAGAGAAGAAAAAAAGGGAGAAGTAATCAGAATTGGCGAGGTGACCCAGGTGGTTAGTGCATCTCCAACACCGACCCTCAAACCGTCCGCATACGTCCAGACTGCGTGGGCTGCGTCCTCTCTCGCATAACCCGGTATAAGATCCTTGCATTGTGCCGGCTCACCACTCCGCCCCGGACGGCTCCGCCCCATTCTTCGACCGGTGGGCTACAGCCATCCAAGACTCGTCGCCTTCCTTGCGCAAAGGGCTTGGAACGCAGATCCCTCTTTCGACAAGGTCTATTTGGCGCCTCCGCAATGCATGCACCTTCGAAGGAGCGCGACCATCTCATGAGGATCTTGTTCGTCTCATCAAGGACGAGGCGCGCCTTTGGGCAAAGGCCGGAGCTAAGGGACTCCGCACAATCTTACATGTAACCTGAACTATGTACCTTGCTCTGAGCACCCCATCTCCCTCTGCTCACTTCACACCCACAACGGCGCCTTCTAGTGTACGCGGCTGCTGTATCGTTTGCTAGCCTGAAAGGCAAAGCCAGCCAGGCTGCACTTGCCACCATGACTCCATGAGGATTCAGCACAGCAATGAAACAAATATAGCAATTCAATCCCCCAATGAAAATCTCTACACTTGCCAAGATTACAGTCTCAATGCAAATTGTTCGATCCAGTAAGGTCGCACCCGATGTCAGCCAGTGCTGGCATGCATGAACTCAAATTACAAATCAGCTAAATGAATCCAATGATCTGCTGACAGGAAGCCGGCGAGGGAACAACGGGCTAGACCGACGGCGGGTTGGAGTCCCTGAACCTCTCGTCGGAGGAGGCGCGGCTCTCCGAGGCGGAGTGCCGGAGCCCCTCGATCATCCGGATCACCTCCTCCATCGCCGGGCGCCGCTCCGGCGGCGCCGACGTGCACGCCATCGCCACCTGGAGCATCTGGACCAGCTCCTCCTCGATGTTCTGGTGCTTCATCAGCTCGATGTCGAACACCTCCGCCGTCCACTCCTCCCGGACCACCGAGTGCACCCACCTCGGGAGGTCCACCACGTCGTCGTTCCCCTGCGACTGCAGCGGCGCCTTCCCCGTCAGCATCTCCATGAGGAGGACGCCGAAGCAGTACACGTCCGACTTCTGCGTGCTCTTCCGGTTCTCGATGGTCTCCGGGGCGCGGTAGCCGACCACGACGCGGGACGCGCTGACGGGCGCGTTCATCAGAGAGCTGAGGCCGTAGTCTGAGACGTACGCGTTTTGATCCTGACCGACGAGGACGTTGGTCGACTTGATGTTGCCGTGGGTGAGCTTTGCGCCGCCTTCTGAATGGATGTGCGCGATGCCATATGCTGTTCCTAGTATGATCTTCACCCTGGTGTTCCAGTCTAATGGCGTCTTCTCAGCAACACCTCTGATACCTGTTGATCAGTAATTCAGTAAGAGATACTATCAGTTCAACAGTTTAATTTTTTGTCTAACACAAGTTATCTTTCTTTGCATGAAATGTTTAAGATATAGAAGAAGAAAACAATCAATGCAGCTTCAGGCAGGAAATGTGCAGAAATATACTCAAGTCTTATTTTCAGACCTATTGCAAAATAAAGGTTCGTAACATCTTGTAAATTTCATAATTTCAGATGCTAACTATCAGGCTTCGCATGGATACAAGCAAGTTCTGTACTTCGAAAGGTAACAATTACTTTGACACTTGAGCAATGAAGGCCCCTTTGTTATGTTCTCTTGTCAGCCATTGCACAGTTAACAACTTGACATCATAAAGAAATATGTAGGAGTGAAAACACATACCGTGCAACATGCCAGAAAAGCTGCCGGTGGCAATGTAATCATAGACGACAAGCTTCTCATCCTTGGAATAGTAGTAAGCTCGAAGCGGGACTAGGTTTGAATGTTTACCCAACCTCCCAACGAGCTCCATCTGCTGCTCAAACTCCCTCTTCCCTGCCACGACATCTTTCAGTCTCTTGACAACCACAACAGTGCCATCCTCGAGTATAGCCTTGTAGGCAGTCCCATAGCTCCCCTTGCCAAGGACTTCTGCAGAAGCCCTCAGTAGATCCTCCAAGTCAAAGTTGTAGGTGCAACCGTCCAAGAAAACCAACTTGTTCTTCTCAGCAGTCTGGACACCGCTACTGAATTCCTGCTTCGGCTTATCACTCCTGACACCAGTTCCCTTGTAGTCGACACCGGCCTCTTTCTTGCCCTTCCTCTTTGAAAGGCACACACCCAACACAACCACAATTAGCATCAGTACTGCAAATCCCCCGACAGCAACCGCGACTATGAACCCTATGCTCAGTTTCCTGTCATGATGCACAGGCGATGGAGATGATGGTGTTGAAGGCAATTCTGGGGAGGGTGTTGGTGTGGGGAATGAGCAATTATCTAGGGGCGGCCCGCATAATTCAGGGTTCCCCAAGAACGAACTATCTGGGAATGTTTGGAGCGAGCGAGGAATTGAGCCTTTCAACTCATTGTTGCTCAGATTTAACAGTCTCAGGCTTGGAAGCTTCAGATCAGGAACGGGTCCAGAGAGAGAATTTTCTTGTAAATTCAGGAGATACAACTGGGTAAGGTTTTCTAAGCTTGTAGGAATCTCTCCAGCGAAGGAATTATAGGAGAGCTCCACTACACTAAGGTTAGGACTGAAAAAGGAAGGCAAACCTCCTGAAAGTTTATTGTGCTGAAGGTATATGGAACGTAAAGAAGGAAGTGAGGCCACATCAGATGGAAGGCTTCCAGATAAAAGATTCGACCGCAGGCTCAGAACTTGGAGAGAATCGAGCTTGCCAAGAGTCTTTGGAGGGATTGCTCCGATGAGGCCAGCGCCTGGTACCCTCAACTCAGATATGTGTGACTGGTCTCCTGAGCATTTGACACCATGCCATGAACACGGTGGTGTACCTTGACCCCAGTTAAGCTTGTTGCCGCGGTAGACTGCAGAGGCGAAGTCAAGAAGGGCTTGGCTCTCAGAGGCCAAATCTGCTACTGCCAGAGGGTTGAATAAGGATAGTAACAAATGCAGTGAGAGCAGAAGACGGAAAGGGCTTCTCATAAGAGTGAGATGATCCATCTGATGAGTCGTCGAATGGGCGAACTAAATCAGCAGCACCTTCATTTGTTTACACCAGACAACTAACCAAACCTGATCAAACAAAAGTGGACATTTAGTGAGAACCAGCATACCGACACTAAGCTTTAAAGTCTAGCTGCAAACAAGAACAGTATTTCATCATAAGAGAACAACACACAAATTGGCAATCACTGCACATATGTCTGCAAGGTGCCCCAAAGGGCACACTGATGCATGCTATCATGTGAATCACGCATGACTGTAACCAAGTCAGCCCAATCAGCTCTCTTTTCCAGCAAGTGACTCACTCAACAGGAACGCACCCTTTTTAAGAAAGTCAGAATACAAAGTAACTGAGATAAGTCAGGGCACTTTAAAAAGATAAATTTCCATCATTGTTACAGATTTCAATATTTCATCATTCCAAACTAGTGCAACTTAAAGTTTCCTGTGTAAACCGCAGGCGGTTATCCTGCGAGATCGGTCAGTATGGACCAGCAGCCAGACACTTTACTGAACTACCTATTCACAGGAGGCCTGGTTTTCTAGTGAAAATGTAAGAATACACACGCAGTCGGGCATGAAAACAAGTCCGAGGGACAGAAATTCCACCTTGGCGCCCTTTAAAGTGTAAAGACATGAAAACATGGCCTAAAAATTGCAGGCAGAAAGCAATTCAAGGGAAAGAAGGAAAAGAAAAGCGGCATGATACGGTCAGCGTATGAAAAGCCAAAAGCATCAGCAAAAGCAGGGAGAAAGAGAATAACAGGAACAAAGATGAGCACATCGCATCATGCATTTCGGTATTGCCACCACTAAGCTCAGTTGACAAACTACTGAAGCTCAGGCACAGAACTCCGAGCCTCTGGCAAAATGCAATGCAATTGTAGTAGTACCGACAGGAACTGAGGCAACTATGTGATGAAGATACCCTACATGTGGTAGAAACTTTGAGCACGCTTAGGAACAAGATGGCGCAGCTTTAGCGTCGCACGAAAGGTATCTGGCCGCGCTAACTGCAGACATCTAAGGCAGTGATCACTGGACAAAGCTGCTTCATCAGAGAAGCCACTAAACAAAGGCCGACATCATCTGTCTGAAGTTATGTAGCCTAATTGAGATGTGGGAAGATGCTGCACATGGCAATGCAGGCTCACCCCTCCATTGTTTACTATCTACAAGATCTAGAGCAGTGCACAGTTTGCTTCATCCCCACTTAAAGAGGGCCTGAGGAGAAGCAATTTCTTAATCAGGGCCGGCCAATGAATAATGCCCAGCGCTCCAGAGTCCAAGCCCAAGCTGGCTCAGCACCCATAGTTCACACATCTCCACGTACTGCCAGCTCCAAACCCTTGAACTACACACATACTACAGCTCATGTGAAACCTTTGCTGGTTGAGTCGATTCCAAGCTAGAGCAAGTAACATGCTACTACAGGGAATTGATGGCATGTGGGGGGTACTGCTGCCTGCTGCCTGCTGCTGGATCCACCATACGGCAGGAACAAGAACTGTGAGCTTGGCAGAGATCCAATCTTTGGCCAGTACAAGAAACAAAACTGAAGCAAAGAGAGCACTGGGATTTAGGTAGACCTAGATTTTTTCTGTTTTCTTGGTACCAAACACAATTAAAACCACTCTAGAACCACCACCTGAATGGCGAGCGTGCAGTGTAACTGAACACAAGCATCTAGTATCTAGGGATGAAATGATGAATGGTAAGTACAGCACCACCGTTGTACATCTGAACACAGGTGAGAACCACAAGAATTCCTAGTGGGGACAGAACTGAAAGTGGACGGTGGGGAAATTTGTAAACTTCAAGTGAAGAACAAAGTACCAAACTTTTTTTTTTACCTTCTGAAAACTAGTAGTGCCTCACTGAAAGGAAATGAAGAAACAAAGATGATGTTGGTTCTATTCCACTAATAATATTTTTGCTAAAAAAAATGGAGGCGATATATGCTTCTAGTATTAATTAATCCCACTGTACTACTACAGCTGCAGCTCGCAATTTAAGGGCATGATCCAAAACGGCCGTTTTCTAACAAGAAATAAACAAATGAACGGAGACAAAACCAAGTAAACGCCAGTGGGCTTGGACGGGAACACTCCGCGGCAGAGACGAACAGAGCCCCTTTTTCCCCTACAGCGACGAACAGCTCAACGCATCAAGCGCTGTAATTTTCAGAAAAGACGCAGACGGCCTACAGACGGGGGGCGAAGCACATCAGCCCGCGGCGCGCGCAACCTAGGAGAAGAAGAAGAACCACCCACCCAAGAACAGCACCAAACCCAACGGTACGAAGGCGGAACCGACGATCCGAACGGCCGGGAATGCGGAGCCGCCGGAGCAGGGCACGTACCTCGACGGAGCGCGCCGGTGGAATGCGCGGGAGCAGCTGGCCTGAGACGCTCCGGTGGCCGCTCTCTCGCCCCCGGACCCTGGAGACGGACGCCGGGCACGAGAGGAAGGACTTCTCGCCGGCTCTTGGGAGAGGGGGAGGGGGGAGGAGGAGCGAGACGACGGCGGCTCCGGGGGGCGAGGGGAGGGAGCGGGGGTGCAGTTAAGGGGAGGAATGAAACGGAAGGGGGGGCGTGGGATCCACTCCACCACTGTAGTAGTAGTCCGCCTTGCTCAGTCACTGGTGCACTGCCCCGTCCGTTCCCCCCTGCTTTTTCGGCGGTATTAATGAACTGCGGATGCGGTAATGTAGTGAAGGCGGTGAAGCGGCACAGTCAAAGTGGTGGACGGTAGAGTGGCCACTTTGCCGTGCCACTCGCAGCCAAACGGTCGAAACCCAGCGCGTGTGTGACTTGGATGGCTCGGCACTCGTGTCACTCGAGAGACTGTGGTACAAAAGAAAATCACCAGGCCATCTTTCATCAAAAATGGGCACCGAAAATGTTTCCGGACGTGTTCGTGGACAGCGGCAGTGAGACCGATCATCCAACCCTACACATCAAATGTTATTGCCGAACTTTTTTACTATCCAATATCCAAAACACCTACTTAAATAAGTAGAGATAAGTATCATTCTTCGCCTATAATCATGTTGTGTAAATATCCCATACAACTTAAACATGAAGTTTTTTGCAATAAAATAACAAAAAAAATTGAATTCAACCTATTCGGGCATATTTCTAGTTCTCCTCTCGAATCGCCCGCCAATGCTAAACCGGGTCATTTTGCGGTTCCTCGTGAGTTGCTCGATTGCGATTGTGTTGATGCATTTGAATAAATTCATCCAAGGTCATCGGATTCTGCTTTGGAGGTTTGATATGATCACGCATTTGCTCAAATTTCAGACTGTGGCATACTCCATAACCCTCATCCACGACGTCTTCGAATCATATTATCTGCAGCTCCTCGAACAACTGCAAAAACAGGATTGGGGTACTCCGCGAGACGGTGATGATGCAGGCGGTCCTTGAAGACGCGGAGCGTGCGGAGGAGCATGTTCTCAATTTCAAGGGCTCGATCAAGGGTCATTGAGTGCTCAACCGCAATAGGGCGTGCGCGCATTACAATGATGGTCGACTACTTTGCCCCGGATGCACTATTCGTTGACCATTTTCGCCGGCGTTTTCGGATGCGCAAGATTGTCTTCGATCATTTGTACCATGATATCCAGTCCTACGATGACTACTTCATCCTGAAGAAGGACGCCATGGGAACGATTGGATTCTCTGGTTACCAGAAGTGCAGGGCCGCACTCCGGATGCTTGTATATGGCACGACGACTGATTCGTGCGACGAGTACCTACGGATGTCTGAGAGCACATGCGAAGATGCCATGGTCAGGTTTGCAACTGTCGTGGTCGATGTCTTCGGACTTCAGTACCTGAGAGAACCAATTGTGGCAGATACGGAGAGGCTCTTGGCAATCTCATAAGCAAGAGGGTGGTCAGGTTTGCCTGGATCTCTTGACTGCGTGCATTAGAAATGGAAGAACTGCCGAAGGCTTTACAAGGGCAATATCAGGGTCATGTTAAGAAAACTCACCATCATTCTTGAAGCAATTGCATCACAGGATCTTTGGATTTGGCACGCTTTCTTTGACATGTCTGGGTCTCACAATGACATCAATGTGCTGTAACGATCGTCGTTGTTTGCAGGCTGACTGAAGGAAAAGATCTCCTTGCCACTATACTGTCAATGGACACGAGTACAACATGGGCTACTATCTGGTTCACGGTATCTATCCTCTATGGACCTTTGTCATCACCATCTCAAAACCCAGTCGGTCAGAAAAAGGCTCACTTTGTCCAAAGACAAGAAGCAGCTAGAAAGGATGTCGAGAGGGCATTTGAAGTTCTATAGACCCGTTTTGTGGTTGTTCGTGGATCTGCTAAACAATGGGATCCGGAAACCTTGTGGGAGGTGATGATATGTTGTGTGATCATGCACAACATGATCGTCGAGGATGAGGATGACGATGTTGACGCAACTCTGGAATTTGAGAATATGGGTGATCATATCCAACTTCCGGACCAGAACCCGACCACATTTGAGGAGATTACTCAAATGCATCAACAAATTCGGCATCAACCAACTCACGGACAGCTCAAGAAAGATTTGATTGAGTATCAGTGAACGGTGAAAGGGGACAACAATGTTGGGATGTAATATTTAAACTTTTAAAATTTGAACAAGTGTTGCACGCGGCTATTTGAACGTCTGTACCCTTTGCATGCTGCTATTTAATCGTGCGGACTTGAAAAAAAATAAAAAGACCGAATATATACGACTATGGTTGGATGGCGTACTCATGCATTACTGTCTGTGGACCGGTCCCTCTATCCACGGACGGATGCGGGGTTTTTTTTGCGATTACGTTGGAGATGCCCTTTATCATTTTTTTTTTGGAAAAATGAAACCAGACACGCTCTTAATTCCCACGGCGCACGGGCAACGACTCGGCTTAATTGCAGCGCATGTTGTGCAGGGTACAACCACCCTTGATCGCAGTAACGAGCCGGTCCATGCAGCAATAGCAA